TGCTACCACTATAAGAGATGTACCCAATCCACTCCAGTCCCTTCCCTGGGGCCTGGCGGATCCAGCTCCAGTAGTGGTAACTACTGCTGATAGAGCCACCAGAGACAGCGCAGGTGAGGGACAGGGTCTCTGAAGGCTTCACCAGTCCTGGGCCCGACTCCTGCAGCTGCAGCTGGGACAGGACCCCTGTGAACAGAGAGACCCACAGTGTGTCCTGGGATCACAGACAACCTCCCATATCGTCATATCTGCATCCCCGAGACACTCACATCTGGGAGCTGCCACCAGGAGGAGGAAGAACCACAGGTGCTTCATGTCCTTGCACAGATGGTCCGTGACTCTCAGAGAGCATTTCCCATGTGAGCTGGACCCTGAATTTAAGGAAACGTGTGGTGGTTTCCTGTGGGTGCCTAAGTGAGGATTTGCATGTGGGTGGTGCCTTTGTATGGAGAGGTGAAAAGGGATGAGGGAGGCCCCAGGATTTGGAGCTCACCCTGAGAGTAGGATGGTGGCTGTGCCCTCTGAGAACTCAGTTCTCTTCCTGGGGCCTCCCCTCACCAAGCCCAGAGTCCTCTTCTTCCAGGTATGGAGATGTGCTGAAGGAGCTGGTCTGGGAGATGAGTGTGATCATGGATCTAGGACAGATTTTGGAATAGGTTCAAAGCTGTTCTACCCGTGAAGATTTATATGAAACCAACCAAACATCCAGATTATCTAAATTGTCAAATCTCCATTCAAAACATTAGGGCAGCAGCTAAATATATTCATCACAGTGAATTTATACAAACCTACATCCATGCAATGTTTGTTGTAATTCAGAATATCCATCATGGTTAGAGGGAATATATCTGTCCCAGAGAGTGCATCATAAAAACAAAAAAAATCTGAGGCCTTCCATTTTGTGACTATTTGAAGTTTAGGATTCTGTCTGCAATCTAAGGAGAAGGTAGTGGGACGTATCTCCAACTGTGTCAATGTGTGATGCTGAGAATGTGGCCTGATCTTTATACACTTCTGTGTGAATAGATGTAGATTGGGGATCACAGTGACAATTTCAGTCAAAAACTATACTAGGTCAGCACAGGAGCATAGTCTCATCATCAAGATTAGTGCAATTGCCTTTCCTGGGAACAAGGGAGGACATGTGTGAGCCCTCCCCTCTGAGAGCACAAGGAACTCTGGTTCTTCCCTGACAGGTCACACTTCTGAAACATGGCGGGACAATGACACTCAAGCCCAGAGTCCTTATCCACATATTTATGGTGTCAGGGGCACCTGTGTCTGAAAGACTTTCTCCTTCATTGAATTGCATGAATATACCTTAGAGTTTGCGGTATTACATCTTGGGCATATGACATTAGTTTGGTGAATTATATAATAAATAATCTATCTCCATGGATGTGGGTAACAGGAGAGTCATCAGACGTTGGGTGTGTTTCAACATCAGGACAAACCTGGGCTCTCTTGTTAGGGCTGAACAAGTGAGCTGACCTGTGGAACAACAGAGGGAAAGAG